GGGTGCGAAATTAATTAAGAACACTCTCGTATGCCACGATTATTATTATGCACAACAAAACCATTTGCCCCACTTCTTTTCACCATTTAAACACGTTCTTGAATTCCAAATGGGGTTAAAAACCAAGTTATAAATGTGTCCAATAATATACCAGTATGTAGAGAGTGCAATGTTATAGCCCAATTCCACTTTCGATATTTCTTACATTTTTTGGGAATGTAAAGTATGATGGTTTTCCCCATAAGAAACCACAATTTTCACTTTTGCAAAAAAAGTTGCTAATTAGCATGTTAATGGAACCACGAAATGTAAAGTTTGTAAATGTAACACATATTCTATATATAGTCTGAAGGGATTGCCGATCTCAAAGAATCGAAGTAAATATCTTTTGAATTTAAATTTTGAATTTTTTAATTTAAATTTGAATTGTTCAAATTTATTTAAATAGCTATAAAGCCATCATTCAAAAGAAACGTTCTCAATTCGCTGTCATTCTCCCATTTAGAATGGGGCTATTCTGCGTACTCTCCCATTGACATAATATTTTTTGAGGTCAATAATCTCAGCTGCTGACTGGGCTTCCTTCTTAGCCCCTTCTTACCCAGTTCTTAGCCCCAAATCTGTGCTCAACAAGTCCGCCTTTTGAAAAAACAGCCTAGACTCCCACACACAGCAGCATGATTAAATAATTAATGTGTTAATTTATCGCTTAGCAAATTGTGTGGTCAATTCACTAACAAAATCACGCATAGACCCAACACTTGGCCCAACAACTCGTCCCCCTCCCCCTCCCCAACCAAAATCGAAGTCAAGTGTGGACAGGCGAAGAGAATTTCGAAAGGCAATCACGATTGCCGGGGGCAAGGAAGCACAGAAAGTGCCTCACGTGTTGAGGGAAATCACACAAATGGCAACGAGAAACGAACAAAACTGTTCTACTCGAGAGTGATCTATTAGGAGATACCCTACGCTCTTCCATGCATTTGTACAAAAAAATACACTCCATTTTTGTTACCTTTGGGCTTAGCTTTTTGCTTATTAACTTAACTTAATGAAATGTTCAGACGGGGAATATTGCAAACAAATATTTATTAGATTAGATTATATGGGAAAATTGGGTGCAGCTATCCAAAAAGTCATACATAATCATTTTATTGATCAAGAACACAACTAGATAATCGAATATGCGAATTAATTAGTTTTAAATAATTAGTTTTAAAATCGATGCTTATCGATATTATTAACATATGACCAGCTATCGATAAGAAAAAAGGGAAACTAAAGAGGAGAATATATATATCAAATTTTAAGTATCTTCCTTTTTAGTTTCCCAGAAGGACGTGTTGTACCTCTGGGCAGACCGACGTGCGTGAATATTATTTTGAACTTTCTTTTAAAATCGATATATATCGATATCAGAACATGTGTTCGGCTATCGGTAAGAAAAATTATAAACTCGTTCAGCATACGTAGTAGGAGAATATATGTCTGAAATTTCAAGTATCTTCCTTTTTTTGGTTTCCCAAAAAGACGTGCTGTACAGTTGAAGCTGATTTTATATACTTTATGGAGTCAAAGATACTTCCTGCTGTCCGTTACATAAGTTTGCACAAAGAGATTACACCCTCTATACCCATGGGCATATAAATACACACACTCTCTCTATCTCTCTCTCCCTCTCTGTCTCTCTTTTTGCGACTGAGTCGACTCGTGGGCATTTGAAAGACATTCGCATAAAGCTAAAACTGTCACCAATAATAGCGACCCGCTGGCCGCACATAAAGTTCCCGGCACGACGGACAGCGACAGCCATAATCAGTATTGGCAATTGAAGTGACATTTGCGCGCGCCCCTATCCCCCCAAACTGATTGCCCGACTAGCATTTGTATATGAGCCAAATAAAAATGCATATCAAATGAAGCTGCAGTCAGGGGCGTGGCTGGGGGCAGGGCAGAACAGTCGCCATTTGGAGGCACTTGCGCAGAACTTGGCTGCTGAATATTCCATGAAGTTGCCAATAAAGTCAAGTGGCAAGTCCTGTGGCAAGACTCGAGGCAGTTGCTCCTACTGCTGCTGCTGCCGCTGTTGACTGCAGCCAGCTGCTGCATACTAATTTTGCCTGCTGCCTCTTCCCCCACCCTCGCCCCCCCGCTGCTGCATTGTGGTGGCATCTTGGCCTCATTTTGTATTCATATCAAGCACCAGTTCCCCATTGCTGTTGTTGTTGTTGTTGTTGTTGTATTTGTGCCTGCTATTAACTGAAATAAAAGTAAAAATGCAATAAAAATGCGGCCCGCCTCGCATTTTGCATTAAAATTGCATTGCAATTGCCCAAGTCGAGACCATTTTCCGTTGTTGCTGCTGTTTTATTATGGCAATTGTTGCGAGTTGTTGTTGTTGCTGCTGCTGTTCAAATGAAATCCAATTAGTTGGCTACAAGGCCTACGAACAACGTCCGTCGATGGTGAGATGCGTCGTGACTGGCAAAGTCCTTTTGTGTCTGAATGTGTGTGCCTATGAACTTGTATGTAGATGCGTGCACTGAGACAAAAATAAATAACAATTTTCTTGCCCAGGTAATTTGCTACGGTTAGTTAAGACAGCTGGGAAACAAAAAATATAGCTATAAAAGTCCTTTTTTCTAATTGAATATGTTTTATTTAGCGCTGGAATCGAGCAATGCCTTCTCATCTAGATCAAGCAAATAAATAATAAATAATGTACAGTAACAAGAACGTAATTAATATGATATAATAGCCCCATTCTGATAATATTTAGCTCATACTTTAGCAAAATTTATTAAAAAGCAAAAAAAAGTTGTTCTTATATGATATTATCCTATATATATATATATAGGAGCATATATGACATATATCAGATATGTCCAGCAAATGAATTCATTTTGCAACACTTTATTTTCACTTAGTCACATTATGTATGTATACATTGTTATTATTGTATATATATTATTTTAATGCCAGCATATTTTTTCTTAAGTATTTATATATTCTTTTTTTTTTTTATTTTCATCTAGGGTTTTCGTTTATAGTTCGACTTGATTGTAATACGCTTTTCGAGCTTCTGGGAATTAACATAGCAATGTTTTTTAAGCTTACTTTTAAATTTAATCGATTAATTAACATTGTTTAAGTATACAATCCACTAGAAATATTTAGAGCAGTTGGTTTCTTTTATGTTTTGTTGACACTTGTTTCGCTCAGTGTAGACTGAGAGTCTGTGTGTTTGGCTCACGCGCCGAATTGAATATGCAGTAATTGTCCGTTTCATTGTTGGCCATGATTTTGCTTGCCTGGTACCAAAAAGCGTTGCGCTTAAGTGCAAAATTGAATTTTTGTGATTAATTTTTTGGGTTGCCGAACACGAGGAAAACCTGGGATGGACTTGAAGGAATCCAGAGGAAAATGACAGACTCCCTCTCTCCCTTTCTCTTTGTCCCTCTCTGTCTCCCTGTCTCCTTTCTAATGCGATGTGTGTACCTGGCACATGCCAACATTTTGGAAGCAGCTTCTTGGCTATCCCATTCCCATTCCAATTGCTATTTCAATGGCCACAATCATTCCTGTCGCATTCCTTCTCCTGTTGGACCCGTGCCCAAGGCCAAGACTCGCCAATAAAACTGTCAATTAACCTTTAAGCAAACTTGGAAAGATGCCAGCGAAACGCTGAAAATGAAGCTAAACAAAATAATTTCCATTTGCATAGACAGCAGGTGGGTTGGAACTGGGGAACTGGGAGGTGGGACATATCTTATCGCTGACTGCCAGAATGCCGCGCCAGATAGCGGCTGTGGAAGCGGCAACTAATAGAGATCTCACAGCGGCTGTCAATGGCTTAGGCCTGGACAGGCATTAGGAAAAGCCGCAGTGGAAAGTGGACCACAGGCTAAGACGCCCACCGCCCACCCCTCGCTTTGTGCACTCGCAACTGACAAAACGCTGCTATTTCCAATTGTGCTATTAATCTGCCACATTTGCACTTCTCCAGGCCAGGCCAGGCTCTGCTCCGCCTCGTCTCGGTCCGGCGGGAACGAGATGGCGGAACGCTTCGCTAAACCGAAAATAGAAACAATCAAAATGAAAATATACATTCTCTTCATACTCTCGTCTGTGCGTAATAAAAACCCCAAAAGCAAAACGTTTTCCATTTAAAATGTCGTCGCAAATGCATAGCCCCCCCCAACCCCCTCTTCCAGCAGATGATTTCGCTCCGCTAACTGTAACTGCTTGGGCAAAGCTGCAGCCAATGGCAGGCCGGCAGCGTTACGCCCACTGCGCCAATTGTTGGCCAGTGCTGCCAAGCTGCGCGCAGACCGAAACCAGTTTCTGCGTCGAGCCGCAGCGAGCGCGTCTGCTGTGTGAGCGAGACAGCGCTACGCCCCGGGGCGTGACCAACCAACAGCAACCACCACACGCCAGCGGCGGCGGCGACGGCGGCGGGTGGGCGGTTGGGCATGGCCAACGTTTATTATGGTAGGTTAGGTTCAAACAAGGTGGCAAACAGGCTCGTTAAAGTTAACCAAATAGGAAGCGAGCAGCGCTGCCGACGTCAACGGAACTGGTTTGACGGGCTGGCTCCTGCGGCAGCGTCAGCGACTGAGACAGCGACTGAGGCAGCGACTGCCGTCAGTCGGCATATTTTTGGCTGCATTTATGAAAAGCGTTTACGCCCGCCAACACGCAGCACGCGCCCGCTTCCCAGCACGGAATCTCGCAGAGCTCCGGATCTGAGCGTCAGTTCAATTTGTCGAGCGCCGTTTAACGAATGCGCGTCGCGTTCCACGAATCGAAAAGAAAAAGTGTGCAGTGTGTGAGGCAAATGAATATTTATTTATTGAAAAATTATTAAAATAAATATATTTGGAATATTTGTAATATATCTAAAAAAAAAAAAAAAAAAATTATAATAGTTCAAATAAAAAGTTAGTGCTCGCCATTTTCAAACTGTTCAAATTGGCGCCACTTGCTCTCAACATGTCCAGTCACGAGGAGGATGAACACGAGCACGAGCACGAGCACAACGGGCTTGACGGACACGGCGACGATGTCGAGGAGCAGGAGATTCATGTCGATGTCGATTCCGATTCACGCATGTCCTGCGGCAGCGGCTCAGATGTGGATATGGACAACGGCAGCTGCTACGATGAATCCGAAACTCCGCTCAGGTAACAGATTACATTCCGGGGAACCAATTAAAAGTTGCTCAACTATATCAAAAGGCCGTAGGGTTTATAAAGCATATTTAGAGCAGAGTTTTATTGTTCTTCGAAAGAGGCTTTTTGTAGTTACACTCTATTGATAGCAAGAGAGTATATTGCTTCGCTAGAGTCAACAAATTTGGCAGGTAGATTGCTAATTATCTCTCTTAAGGTACGATATATAAAATATATATCCAAAGTTTACAAAGTCACAGTTTAAAAGCCATTGCCCAGTGTTGACACTATGGAGTTTTTTTTTTATAAATTGTTTATTTATTTATTAACCAATGCTCGTAGCTTTCAGGTTATCCTAACTTAAGAAATATTATCTTAAATAACTGACTAACTTAACAGAAAGGAGCTTAGTTTGAATATTTATTTTATTTTAGGAGGAGGTTTATGTTATTATACAGATTATATTGTTCAAGGTCTGCCTGGGCACTGGGCGGCCAGGTCTTTAGGGTAGATCTGTTTAAGCCTCCTTTTTCTTGGACTCCTGCTGCTAACTTCCTTGCCAGGCTAACTCTTTGCATTTTGAGCTGTTTTTGCAATGTGAACAGAGTAGAAGACAGTCAGTTTTACCTGTTTTAATCTCTAGATAAATTTAAAGTCGCCTTATTCAAATTTGCTTTCGCATTGTCTGGCCACACAAAGCTCAAACAAATCTTTGGACATTTGAATAGCTAACCAGTCCAATAAATGCTTTCATTCACATTCGACGCACCAATTTGGGGCTTGGCGTGAACAAACCTCTTAAACGCTAATAAATTGCCTCACAAGAAACTTCCTGAATTAACGGAGGGACAGGTAGGGGCACAGGTAGGGACTGGGCCATAGGGAATTGGGAGTCTGGAATCTGGGAACTGAGGAGAGTCGACGACTCGATGATAAAAGGCACATTAGCAAGGCGCCAAAAGCGCGCGCTGATAACAATTCCCAAATGGGCTCCAAACGAGTTTAACGAGAGAGAGAGAGAGACAACGCCCCAGCATATTGGATTAACATTTTAATAGAGAATGCGCCATAAAAAGCCTATAAAAAGCAAGTAAGAAACTGGAAGGTACACTAAAAAAAAGAAGAAGAAAAGCACAGACAAAAAATAAGTAAGACACCGGAAGATACCCTAAATAAATAAGAAAAGATCCCAATTTAAAAACTAAGTAAGAGACTGGAAGATACCCTAAAAAAAGAAGAAAAAAACCCCATACAAAAAATTAATAATACAGGAGATACCCTAAATATTCTTAGAATCGATTTACCAGGCGAGAACTATTTTAATCTTCAAGCTATGCTTAAGTAATCACGTCTTAGAATCGATATTTATCGATATGGAACCGATAAATAATGTAATACCGAATATTGGTTGACCGTTCACCCAAGCGGATAGACGAGTCTGGCTGGATGGGCTTAGTTCATCATTAACTCAAGATACCCTATAAAAAGAAGTATTAAAAATAAGTTAGAGACTGGAAAAAAGAAGACAAGCAAACCCGCACAAAAAATGAGTAAGAGACTGAAAGATACCCTAAACAATCAAATTAACCTTACATATAAAAACTAAAATATTCTTAAGCTCGATTTACCAGGCGAAAGTTCTTTTAATCTTCAAGCTATGCTAAACAAATTAAGCTTAGAATCGATATTTATCGATACTTCAGCCATTTTTAAAGGGTATGCGAGCGCTCAAGGGAATGCATAGAAACAAATCAAAGATCGTCGAATATTTATTTTATTGACTTAATTGTGTGTGGTTTTTGAACAGTGTAGACTCGGTCGCATTTAAATCACTTTCCATTTGTTGTTGCTGATGAATTAAGTGAGGATCGTGACTCGCCACGGACTGTGCGATGATTTATAGAACCGAAATCAAATGCCATTTGCATAATTACTTCATTTGCCAAGAGTCAAGCGAAATGTTACGCATACGCCGCGTTTAACGCCAGCAAAAAAAACATGAAACATGATTTCTGCGTGTTACGGGCCAATACTTTGGTGCGTGTTATCTCTAAGGCTGGCAGCAGCAGCAAATGGCAGACAAATGACAAATACACTCAGAGAAAAGCGTAGTTAATAAACATAAATATGATTCGAATAGAATTAAGAATGATTAAATAATCTCCAAAATATTCTTTAAATAACCATAAATCAGACTCCTTTCAGCATTTGAATTGCAAAGGTTAAAAATTCGCAAAATACTTTTTCTCTCAGTGTACGACATATGTGAGCGTGGGCAACTGGGCTGGGAAATGTTTACTTTGCAACATTAATTAATAATTGGTTCTGCCGCTTATCATTGGGCGACACTCTCAATATTAATGAGACAACAACAACAACAACAACAATTTTTTGTAACTCTTGTTTTTTTCTTTCCATTCCTCCCATTCCAGCGAATCGCTGCAATCGGAGCAGACGCGCTCCTCGTCCAGCGAGAATCTGCCCTTCAGCATATCGCGGCTGCTCTCTAAACCCTTCGAGACCAACAACAACAACAACAACAACAGCCACAGCGGCAGCAACAACCACAACAACAACAGCTCGGAGAAAGAGCTGCAGGAGCAGGAACAGGATCTGGCCGCGTATAAGCTGGCCACCAGCATTGCCAATTCGACCTATGGAGGCGCCGCGGCGCTTTACAGCTATCCGCATCTGTATCCGTCGGCTGCGGCAGCGGCCGCTGGCCATGTGCTGCGTGTGCCGCCGCAGCGGACGCCGCTCACCTGGGCGCTGCCCCCACTGCATCATGCGGCGCTGGCCCATCAGGCGGTCAAGGATAGGCTGGCAGGTGAGCAAATGGACGGTAGCCCCAAACAAGCAGCTACTGTTTACCTGCGCATATGTGTGTGTGTATGTTTGTGTGTGTGTACGAGTCCAGCTTGGAGTCTGAGCCCTGGCTAATAAGCGCGATCAGAGAAGTCTTTTAAGCCAACATGCCTGTCGGCATGTCATTCGTGCTCAGCCAGTGCCACACACACACACACACACACACACACACACACTCGCACACACACACGCACGCCCCGTAAAGTATAAAAACATGTTTGCCTTCAAATGCACAATCGGAGCTTAAGTTAAAAAACCAAAACAGAAATCTTCGCCGCCCAGAAGCAAAAGCCAACGCGTTGTCCCCGCATTTGCATACGACTCCGGCTACCCCTCCTGCTCACCCACCCGCTGGCAATCCTCGTCTCGATCCTGGGTCTCTTCCTTAATTTGTTTACATTATGAGCTTCAGTTGTAGCTACAGGCAGCGCGAGCCGCTTAAATAATGAGAACGCGTTGATTTTATTACCCGTCCTCAGGCCCTTTATCACCTGTCATCCCCTCCCCCCTCCCCCCACCCCGCTCGCACCCTTCGGCTGTCAGTTGCATGTAACTCATATTTGCCCCACACACAAAAGCTGCTTAGCTGGCCGATCGCTTTGTCCGATTGCGAAACGGACTTTGCTTTTTATGCTCCACACATCCGCTCTGCTTCTTTTGCTTCTTCTTCTTGATTTTATAAATTTTATTTTATTTTTTTTTAGTTATTTTAATGAGGCTGGTTTACATGACTTTTTAATTTCGCGCTGTGCACCCGAAAAGGAATTAATTACACATTGGGCGGTCGTCTAGTGAGTAGCTGCGGACTTGGCTTATTTATCGCCAGCATACCACACTTCAATGCGAAGCGCATCTCAACTGACATGGGCAGCATTTAATTAGGCTGAGCTCACAAAGAGAGAGCGAGAGGGAGTGAGAGCGAGAGAGCGCGCTGTAGCCTAACTTGGCCACACTTATGAGCCGCTGACCAGTTTCGTTTTGTCAACATCTTCGTCAGCCGCTGTCTGTTCTGAGTGTGAATGAGAGAGTATGTGTGTGTGTGTGTGTGTGTGTGTGAGTGACTGAACATGTGTGCGTGTGTGTCTCCAACTGTGCGTGTGTATGTGCATTGTGTCGCTTCGGCCTGCTGATAAGCTGGCGCCTTGGCTTTTTTCATTAACAAGACAAACGAGCTGCCGTAACAGCCTAACCCTTGCCATGATCCCCGCTCTCTCCGCTGCCCCCTATCCCTAAGCCCTCTCGCTCTCTCATATGATTAATAACCTTTGCATGTTAATTGGAATGCCGTTGGCTTTACGCTGACAGGCAGCGCAGCAGGCGCCAATTATTTCGGCAGCCCTTTTGCTGCAATTGCCAAATAGCCAAATATTTAAGTACACTCATCAAAAAAAAATATATTTTATACATTTTATATGAATTAATTTTTTAAGGGATTTTAGTTTTACTTTTGCAAAGAGAGCATTTTCGATATTTGAGAACATTTTTCATTAACTAAAATATTAACATTTTTATTTTTTTTTTTTTTAATTTTCCTAGTTCTATGTTTTTAAAGAGTATTAGTTTTCAAACACTTTCCATTTATTTAATTTGTTGAGTGTAACTTTCGGCTAAATCGCATGCGACTTTAGCAAAAGGTCAAAGTGTAAATGCTTGAGTGTAGACACAAGTACTTTGCGCATATTGCGCATACACCATGTGGGTCGTTGTCGATGTTGGCCAGAAACCGCTCCAGCTCCAGCTTCAGCTAAGTCTCAGTCTCAGCCTCAGTCTCGGCCACAGGCGCCATCAATAATGCATGCTAAAAGCTTTTAGCATTATTTTACGTATTTTGGGAAGGCAGCAGAAGCTGAAGCAGCAGCAGAAGCAGCAGCAGAAGCCGCAGCCCACAGACAGGTTGTGAGTATCTTTAAGATACGCCAAGAACTGAGCCAAAACATCATAAATAAGAGCAAGGCGTGCCAGCATTTGAAGGGCATGGAAGGGGGGGGGGGGGGGGGGGGAGGTTGGATACGTGCTGGTAGGCCATAAAATTATGCTTACGCGAGTATATATGGCTGGAATCCTTTGAAGGAATCCACCATGAGCGCCTGCTTATGTGGTGCGATAAATGGCTTTTTATTGAAATTGATATTGCTTGAAATATTCAAATGGTTCAAATCCCCAAACGGCCAAATGTATGCCACACAGAAAGCGAGAGAGGGAGACACATCTTGCTCAAAAAGGGTTCCTGGGAAAAGTCGCAATAAAAAACATGATTTGTCAGTTTAACACCCGCCATATACATTCGAGCATTGAGCATTTTTCCGCTCCCATTTCGGATTGATGGAAATTTCAGCCATTTTGATGGCGTTTTATTGGCGCAAGTATGAAAGTTGCCTAAAGGGAGTTAAGTTTGTGTGCACCATAAAAAAAGGCAAGTTTTAGAATGTGAATAGAAGTAACAAGTTGTATTTCTTATTGCACATTTAGGATTTGCTATTAGAAAATTAAGAATTTGGGTTGCCCAATTTTTTACATAGTATTTTTCAAAAAAGTTATTTCTGAAGCGAAAATATCTCTGCAAGTAAAATTGGAATAACAATAACCAAAAAAAAAAAAATGTATAAACCAGAAGATCAGAAATTTAATTTGTCAAGCTCATTTTAAATCTCCAACAAATTTAAGCAAATTTATTGTAAGCATTCCATTTGCCGAATATTATTCGAATTTTGGTTATTTTAAAATATAATTTAGATGCTATCATAATTCACATTATTTTTGACAAATTCAATTCAGACTTTTTCGTTCTTAACGTTGCTTAATTTCTCAAGTTTATTTATTTATTTGTTAATGGTCAAAAAAAACAAGTGTCTTCCTAATTATTCGACGCATCTCATTATGAAATTAAATGCCAAAGTTAACCACGCTAAACCCAAAAAATTAATTTTCGAGCTCAACTTTCATAGAAGAAAATGTTTGTTGTTTTTATTTTTACAAAGAGCAGCCTTTTGTGAGCTTTCATTTCAAAGCGTTAAAAATGGTTCGAGAATATTTTTACTTGAGAATATAGTTAATTGGAAATGCTCACATATTCAGTTAGACTTGTTCCATTATTTTCCAGCTCGAAAAATGCAAAGTTCTAGTCAGCTTAGAGTTCATGTTTACCAAGCAATTGCCGTGACCTGTCGCCTGTGACCCCAGAGAGACTTTGGTCAAGCCGGTTTCCCAGTTGTCACCAGGAGGACGGCAACGACATCGTTTTTTATTATTTTATTTTTTGTTGGTGGCCGCGGCTTATCGCAGCAAATAAACAACAGCACGCAACAACAACAGGAGAGTCAGGTCTGGCTGGAATTTTAAAAGGTTCAGCGCCAGAGTCGCTCAGTCCCTGCCCCTGCAACCATTAGGCGGCAGACCGAGGCGCAGTCCCGTCCAGTCCAGACACTGGGTCACATAGGCATCCTAGGAAGCCGCGAGTTTATGACTCAACTCGAGGCGAGCCGGCTTTGGCTTTGAATGAAATTGATGTCGCGTGCGTTGTCTGCAAAGACTCTATGATGAAGGTTAAAGATCGCCCTCAGACTTCGGCAATTAGGACCGGGTTCGACTCGGAGTCGTTGACTCTCAGGGTCTAAATTGATTTCACAGCGGGCCGCGAGGGGATGGGCAGGTAGCAGGCGGTTCGCTAAGTAGCCGCACAGGTGCCGGAAGCAAATATCGGAAATGGCTTGTTATCCGGCGGCCAGGTCTACGCCGTTTATTGTTAGCTAATTGCCCAGCCAGGACACACAGCGGGAGAAATTTAAGTGCAATTATCAATATATTCCATTTAACCATTTAACTATTTTCTTTTCTATTCCACAGCTGCCTTTCCCATCGCCCGGCGCATTGGACATCCCTACCAGAATCGCACGCCTCCGAAGCGAAAAAAGCCGCGCACCTCGTTCACACGCATCCAGGTGGCGGAACTGGAGAAGCGTTTCCACAAGCAAAAATATCTGGCCTCCGCGGAGCGTGCGGCGCTGGCTCGCGGCCTCAAGATGACCGATGCCCAGGTGAAGACGTGGTTCCAGAATCGACGCACCAAATGGAGGTGAGCACAACAAAAATCGATATGTAAAATGTGATGACAGCTGACACCTGTACCCGCCTCCTCGCCCTGATCCAGCCTTTTAAACTACAAAATGCACAAAAGGCTTTTGTCTAAAAAAGAGAAAAAGAAAAAAGAATAGAGCTCGTGGGGTAAAAGGTTTTTCCATTATGCATGAGCACATTAAATGAAAAAGCGCCCCCGCTTTCCGTTTAGGGGTTGGCCATCCATTGGGGGTGGATTCTCCTGGTTGCCGGCAAAGTCCTTTGCAACGCTTAGCCATAATAAGCAGAGGCTTTCACTAACCAGACGCTAATCACAACACCAAAATGGCTGTTATGAAAACATATTGTAATAAAGTAAATAGAATAGAAAGAATGTTTTAACAAATAGTTGCAGAGAGAGATTATGTAAACCCATTGGCATACGTTTCTTCTTTCCTTTGCCGCTTCCTCGTTTACGGAAATACATTCTCTCTTTGTTATCAAAGTTTCATAATATTTCCAGGGCTTGAATATGGAACACACAAGTATCTATGTAACAAATGGGATCAGAGTAACTCAAATAAATAGAAAAAAAATTGTACAATAATTATAATCAAAAAACACAACACATTTATTCAATTTATATTTATTAACCAGAATAATACTTAAATTGTACACTATCTAGACCTGCAGGCATATTTGCACCTAAATAACAGAAAAGTAGCATTTAAATGTTCATACATGTTTCTCATGTAAATAATTTACTTAACATATTTACTTGGTTTATCATTTTGATTTATGACCCATTTCCGAGTAGCCTAACACAGAACATTTGCCATGCAAACGAGTACTTTCAACTCGTTGCCTTATCAAGCGAATACTCACTCGCCCCTAATTTAATACATATGAGTAGAAACGCATACACTCGAAGAAAATGTCTGGAAATTTGTACCGTTTATACTCGCTAGAGACAGTTAACATTCCTTAAGCTGAGAACGAAGCTTTTTGTGTCAGAAATTTGTTGTGTTTCCAATATATATTTGTTATTTAGTTTATTTTACAAGCATTTTCCTTTAATAGAACAGTTCCAAATACAAATTATTTCTTTTTACCTACATTTGCGGCAGAAGTGCTATAGTTTTTCTCCGAGTGTATGTGTGTTGTCCTATAAACAAGTCACGCGCTTGTTTGTCTCGTAATTGTTAATGAGGCATCGATGCGTTCAGCGCGTTTGCGTGTCTCAAATTGTTTTCTATTTTATTACTAGCATTAGAATTATAACAAAATATACTTATATATATATATATATATATATATATATACATAGACCCTATGCAATTACCATTATAATAACGAGCAAAAGCAAAACTTTTCAAAACGTGGCAACGCCAGCGTCGCATGCACCAACAACAACAAGAACAACAACACTTTTGAGACGCGCTAATTGCCGCTTAGCAGGCCTCCAGAGCCCGACAATGCCAGAAGCCCCCCCCCCCCCCCCCTCTTCTACTTCTCCCTTTCCTCCTGGCTCTCACAGCTTATCAGCCATTTTGGACCTAGTTTAGCTCGTAAAAATTAATGATGTAAAACGCAATTTTGTTAACGGCAATGGCCACGGCTCGTTTGTGGCTAAGTGAAATGGCAACGGCATAATACAGGCACCATGATTACACACACACACACACAGAGCTGTGTGTGTATTTGTGTGTGTGCCTGATCACATAATTGCCTTAATGCAATGCTGCAAACTGTGCGCGCCAAAAGTAATTTGAATAATTAGCAGCGTTCAACATGGCGTATGAGTTATGTTCGCTTCGCCCAAAGATTACAAAATGTATTTTACAATAAATTCTGCTTTTCTTTATCAAAAAAAAAAAACTGTAACCCGTTTTACAACAAAGGCAATGCGCTTGACTCAGAGGCTTTTAAATGCCAACAACAACAACAATTAATAATTAACAACAACAACAACAACAACAATGTTCGACTGAGTTTGAGCAATTGAATGAAGTTTGTTGCCTGTCAATTTGACAATGTGTTTAGCGAAAAAGAAATAAACAGCAGAAGCAAAGGAAGAGAAGGAAGGAGAACGTGAACAAAGAAACAACAAGCAAGCACAGTTAATTGTTACCTGCTGAATATTGAATACCCTTCTTCAAAAAGTTTACGCATCAATTTCATAAAATTGGCATAGAATGTACATTTTATTAGTTGCAAAAATACTTATTAAATGTTTTTTTTTTAATACTTCTCTTATTTTCAGTTAGTTCAGAAGCCCTTTTTTCAAAAATGTTAAAATAGATGTTTTTATAAAAAGCTCTGTCCTCAAAATGTAGTGAACCGACCAACTCCGACGCATATTCGCAATGCCTGCAGCAAAAAGATACATATTTGAGACCCTATAAAGAGACAGAAAGGCAAATTTGATTAAACAAATATAGCTATTTATTCGGATCAAGAACATATAGTACATAGCCAATAGACTGACAGATGTCTACCACGAAGCGTGACAAAATTATAATACCCACTGCAAGGGTATAAAATAGCAACTGCGGGCAAAAGGCAAATGCCACACAGAACAACAGATAGATAGCGAGAAAAAGAGAGGGAGAGAGAGAGAGAGAGCAGGAGAGAGAGAGAGTGAGTGCCAAGCATGCTGTAAACTCTGTGATGCAAAAAAATGGCATGTCATTGCGCAGTGTCTGACAATGGGGCCAAACAAATGATGTTGTCTAACGGTTGTCTGCTTCGCCATGTCCTTACAAATACCGTACATCCAGTAAATGGGCGGAGAATATACGAATGTCGGAATGTCGGTTAAGTTCTTGAGATAAGTTTGTATTTTAATATGTTTTGGGTACAGAAACCAGATATTTTATTGATATATCTTTTCGAACCATGATGATTTTTATAAGAGAATTAAAAAAACTCTTGAGTTTGAACTATTTTGTCACTGGGCTAGTTTCTCAGTTTTCAACATATTCTATAGATTTTCACTTCATTTATCTGATTTATTCTTATAAATGTATATAAATTTTGTTTTTATAGATCTATATAAATATTTTGAATCTATTTTACTTAAGATCTACTTTACCGGAAACAAAAATGAAATGTAAATGTTCTTAAGCTTTTCCCAAGCCAAATTGATTTCATGTTTGGAATCAATAACTACAGGGTATCTACTGCCTCGCAAGCGCTCTCCTTTGCAGAATTTGCACGGCCAGCTACTAGATGTGTGTACATAATTTAATTAGCAACCGGCACATAAATCAAGCTGCCGTTAAACCCTTTTTAATTACACGGCCATGCATCAAAAAGCCAAGAATCCGGCGGATTGTTTGGGGGAGAATCTTGGCTTCGAGTACGAAAACTCACACGAAATTAATTGCGTGGCATATGGAAAAGTTTTTGCTGTTGCTGCTGAAAGCAGTCTAATTAAAAATTTACACACGCACACCCACACAGTGACAGATGAGTGTGTGTGTGTGCGTGTGTGTGTAAGTGTCCAAAAGAAGAAGAAGTTTGCTGGCAAACTTGAACCGCAAGGCAAATATCAATTTGGCAGAGAGCAAAGTTTTGTTTTGCGCCAGCGAAGAAAATCAAATGAAATTAATTACGGCAAAGAGCCTGTTGGCCATTTGGAAATTAACTTTTGGGCCACGTGTCCACGTGGCCAAAAGAAAATCTTTTGTCTTGGGCGGCAACTCCCACAGGACGCTAACCGGGCCCGATTAATGGCCCAGCTAAATTGTTATGTCTTGCCAGATAATTGCCAGAGGGCCTTTTTACTTTTTTTCCCTCAACTTTTGTTCTAATTTGTTGACATCGTTTGCGGGCGGATTTTAATTATCAGCTCCAAAGCAAAACGTTTGAACAGCTGCTAACAGTGCGACAATTGACTTGCCATTAAATTTGTGGCAGCATTAATCTAAGCCACGCCTCCCCTCCCACCTCTCTCCCCTCTCCTACCTTCCACACCTGCCGACACCTACGTAGCGATTTATGCCTCGAGCTTTAATAAACATTTTAGCCTAATGTCTGGCCATTATTTATCGTGTTTAACAACAAAAGCAACAACAACAACATTTTCATCGCTCTGACAAACAGTTAACATTTGTAAAGCGTTTCGTGCATTTTCCATTTTCCGCTGGAAAAACTCTCGTGCGCCTGAAGATAAATTACAATCGTGCCGCTTGTCTCTGCTTCGCACAGCTTAAATTAAGCCCGCACACACTCACACACGCACACACACTCACTCACACACATTTGTTTTTGGAGTTTTTAATCAATTTTCGTTGAATTTTTCATGCGGTAGCTGTTAAAAATGCTCGCAGATAAAGCATCCAAAATGCCAGAAAGTAAAAGTGAAATACTTCCCATACTATTATTCACTCGAACAAATGCCAGACAATGGAGTTACATTTCGAGTACAATAATTCAATTAATGTGGCTTGTACAATGGGGAGTTTTGAATTATTTTGTTTCCCAAACCAACGAAAAAATTTTTGGCAAAGTTCGTTGAATAAACAAGTTATAATTTTTATTAAATATTAATACTTTGTAATTTAAAAGACATGTTTTCATATCTAAGAATTTAACTATACTTTAAGTCAAATCTACGAATTTTAGACCAAAAGCAACAAATACATGTAATATGTAATTATTTTCCTTAATCGATATTTCTAATTCTTTAATCGATATTCATAATTTACAATACTTACCGATATTGACCTTGAAAGAAAATCGAAAACAACGTTGCAATATGTAAATATTAGCTTTATTTCACATGCTGCGATTCCATTAACAAATGTTAGCAAAATGTGGTTTCTTATGGGAAAACCAGCGGGCAATATTTTTCACATTAGAAAAACATTTAAGAAATGTGGATAGTGAATTAGGCTGTATAAGGAATTGTTAAACATAGCAAATATATGGGCTTGGGGAAAGGGCAATACAAGGAAGAAAAGGAAGAGGTCAATAAGGAAGAAAATGTATACAATATTAATTAACTTTTAAGGGGAATCGCAAAATTAGGTCTGAGAATGTTCTTTGACAAAATATAAATGTCTCTGTACAATTCGTATGCCAGTAAATAATTTTATATTTTCGTATAACACAAAAACAAGCCACAATTGGACTATGAAATTAATGAATTTTTAATCAGTTCGCATTTAAGTTACGAACTCGTAGTTTGAATGATGACATTGCTGATGAAAGCCGTAATGATAGCATATTTAACTAAAATACAATAATGACATGTGTGGGTCGCACACACACACACACACACACATACACACACCCACACACGAACACGCGCACACTAACGAGCCAAGTATTTGGGTTTGTAATTACGGGCCAAAAACTTTTTGCTAGACATCGTAGTAAGAACTTTATTAGATCATGAAATATTCAATATGGCGCGCGAAGGCGAAAACAACCCCACAGACAGAGATGCAATGCGTGTGTGTGTGTGTGTGTGTGTGTGTGGGACTGTGTGTGTGGGGGTGGCCACAATTAGAGCATAAATGCTGCGCAAACGCGAAAGATGAGGGCATGGGAAACGGAAAAGGAAGTGGGAAATGGGAACTGGGAACTGGAACTGAAACTGGAGCTGGAAAATGATCTGGGAAGAGGAAGAGAATTACAACTGCAGTAGCAAAGGGCAAAGTGCAAAGTGCAAAAGCCCGTGTTGCAATTGCAGCTGAATTATTTATGGCCAAATGTGAGCGAGTTATTGTTGTTGCTGCTCGGCTTAAATCCCATTTAAGCGCAACATTTAAAATGCAATTTTACCAGGCCAGGCCAGAATCGAAATTAATTTTCAATAAACAAAAGCGAAACAATGCCATAATTGCAGGGGTCTGGCGGGTTGACTGTTGGCAATCAGCATATTTGATTTGATTAGTTTTAAATGGTCTTAATAAGCCGCCCACATAATGACTTGATGAGCCTTCCCTCCCTCCAGCTCTTTATCTTTTGCTCTCTTGCTCTCTCTCTCTCTCTCTCTCTCTCTCTCTCTCTGGGCCAAATTGCTTTTCGATAATGAATATGCACATTAGCCGATGCCAAATTATAGATAAGCCTCATCAAATCGTATTATTCCCTGAACTATGACTAAAAACTGGTATCGTTTTTTTTATGTTGGAATAACTCTGCTAAATAATGTCCCATTTCGGAATGATTTAATAATTTTGGACTCCTACGGATTAGTTAATTCGATTGGCATTCAAAATATCACATTCTAAAATTTTGACCAAATTTGAAAAAATAGCGTACATTGAACTGAACATTTTATAAAGATCGGATTACAAGCACCGAAGTTAATCAGGAAATTTTTCTCCATTATGTTTGTGTTTTTGTGCATAGAAGAAATATAGAATGTGGCAGCTCAAAGCTGAGTCTCTCCCAGTCGAAACCGATAAAAGTACTCTTGCTTTTTATGCTCTATTAAATTTTAAAATTTTTAATCATGTGCAGCTTTTTAAACTAGTTTCTCTCTTTCTTTTTCTCTCCCCTTTACAGACGTCAGACGGCGGAGGAGCGCGAAGCCGAGCGACAGGCGGCCAATCGGCTGATGCTATCCCTGCAGGCGGAGGCCATTAGCAAGGGCTTTGCGCCGCCGGCGGCGCCTCTGAGCTCCCAATCCGGCGTGAATGGAGCCCCGCTGGCCGCGCTGCACGGACTGCAGCCCTGGGCGGAGGCGTCGCATGCAGCGGGCTGCTAATTGTCAAATAGTAGATCTATATATATATATATAAAGTATGTGTATAAGGTTTATTTGTGATACAGTTTGCTTTGTAAATAGAGTTGAGAAAAATGTGTGCGCTACAGTGAAAATCAATCAAGCACAAGTTGTAAATATCTAGCTTTACTCCCCATACTATAATATAATCTAAAATAATCACCTAGTTACTTAAGTACTCGATTTAGGTTTAAGTAGTGTCCCTTAGTTTGTAGCACAGTGTTTCCTTCATTTCAATTTAATCTCAAAATGTCAACTTTAAAGTATAAATATATATATATATATAAATATGGTATATAACATACAAAATTTTAATTATATGGCTTGTATTGTACGTTAGTTGTAAGTCGAATGGCATTGCATAGTATTATAAAACTAAATAGCTATTGAAAAATTTATAAACTAACAAAAAGCAAAGAAAACAAAGGAAAAATAAATACATTACAGAATCAAAGAACACAAACTGAATACCAGATCTGAAAATAAACAAAATTTAAATAAAAAAAAAAAAAACAAAAAAAAAATATAAAAAAAAATTAATGCGAAATAAAATACGAGTCCAGAATTGTATAATATTCCAAAATCGTACGTTATTTGGCCGATTTTGAAATGTTATGCCTTTTTGAATTCCTACGAATCTCTACTAATATTGGCAAAATTTAAAAATCGATAGCTTAAAAAAAGTTATTGATCAAAAAAACGATTCGTTTACTCAACCTTTTTTGAAGATTTTTCGGGTTTTCTCCGCCAAATAATGCCGTATTTTGGAACCATTTTAGACTCGTGCGGAAAAGTACTATGAGTTGGAATCAAAAAAATGAAATTCTTAATGTTGATCCGACGCGACCAAAGAGCAAGAGGATACATCACGTTTCTTCTCAAAATCGGTGTCGGTTCGAGTATCAAATCGGGGAAATATATGAATCAAAGGCAAAATAAATACATTACGGAATCAAAGAACACAAACTAAACATATGCCAAATAATTGAGTTCTAAGTGTAGTTGGGCTGATATGATTTATAGACAGTTTATAGACAGGTTATTATGCCCGGGCCATATGCTGCGAAGCCAACAACAATTAGGCGCTGCACAACCTGAACCTTGGATATACATATATCAATTATATCTAGCGGCCTTTCATTATAAATATATTACGTGTTTTTTATTGGCGCCGAAAGACAAAACAAACAAACAAACAGACGCCGCCTGGCCTGCCCAGACCTGGCCTGATCTGGCAGGTAGCTCTACCTTAGGCTTAGGGCTCGCTCCTTAAAGTGTTGGCCGCTGTCACATTAGCGTCGGGGACTTCAACTCCTACAAGTTGGCCTCCGGTGGTCCGGAAGTAATCCATTTTTTTTTCTTGTGTTCTTCAATCGGCAACAAGTTAAAAGACGGCGCCCCACAAAGTTGCAGACAAACTGCGTCCGTTTGTTGTTATTTTCTTTTATTGAAACTTCAGCAGAGAGACACCTTTTTAATTTGGTGGCTTTTGCCGCTGGACCTTCTGGAAATTCGCATAAATTGCGTTTAATTGGACAATTTTTGTTATATTCCTTTGTGGCCAGCGGCGGCTTGTAATGAGGATGAACTCCGTGTTTGCCGTCCATATTGCATGTGGCCAGTTCTTGGGGCTTGTCTCTAATTGGCTGCCCACTTTGTAGCATTTGTCCGGTTTGATTGATTATTGAGCCAAGCTGCGGACAGGCGCCCGGTCTTGGGGTAAAGCAGCAATCTATTTGTGTCCACTCAGTGGAGTGACAGGCGCCACAGTTCTGGGCTGAAAAGTTTGCTCTGCCGAAAATCAGCAAAAAGAAAACCAAATTGAAAGTGACCAGAGGGGGTTGCTGTCGACTGGATATGAAAAATACAAATGAACAGCCATGCGGTTGGTCAACAAGACAAGCCAGGACAGCGACGAAGGCGAAGGCGGAGAGGGTGGCGGGAGTGGAAGCCTCTTGGTCCGTCTGCCATGTCAATTTGGATTACGGCCAGAGATTGAAAGGGATTTAAGGCCAAGCCAAGCCAAGCGGGCAGCGTAGCAATTTTCAAATTAGTTTTTCAGCCTTTTTGAAGGCAACAATTTCTGGCTGCAATTTTCATATTAAAATGCACAACAATGGAGCAAGGCAAAGTCAAAGCTTGGGGGAATTGCTGACAATAATGCTCTAGACAAACTTTGACAGATACTCACAAAAGCAGTCACAATAGCCGTAGCAGTTGCAGTCACAGTAGACGGCGCACAGTGACAGCAAATAATTAGCGGCCATCATGGCGACATTTAAATTAAATATGACTAGCTATTTTGCTATTGTTCGCCCTTCTTCTTCTTGCTGTTGTTATTGTTTTTGTTATAGTTGGACTAACGGTGGCACGTCTAGCCTCTAATTATACTCGTCGCTGGTTGGCCTGTCAACCTGCCACATGGCAGTCATAAAAAAAATGCCATAAAGGAAACCATTTTTAACAACCCACCTGAAAACAACTAGTCGGTATGCAGTTAAAACATATGCGGCTAGCAGCTACCCTTAACTCGAAGAAGAGCACTTCCATTTTACATTTATTTTAAGGCTAATCGATCAGTGGCCTCAATACATCATGATTGATGTGTTCAATCACCTTAATTTCCTATCTTCTTCTATTTTAGTCATTTAATGTGATGCATACATCATGACTGATCATGATTGATATCCGTTAACAGCACTGAATTTTAATTTTGTAGCCTATCAAACCTATCAAGTACTTAAGGATTAATATACCAAGTTAAATATCTGCAGACACCAGCAATACATCATGATTGAAATCTGCAGATATCTTCATTTTCCATATTCCTCCTAGCCAGTCACCCAATGTACTAAATACATAACTGATCTTTGCATGCATTTCAATTTTGCATATTCAATTATATGTAGTCTATTAATGTGTTTAATACATCATGATGGATTTTCATTACCAATTTTTATTGATTTCTATTCCATTCTATTATATTCTAAGCATCGTTCATGCCTTCAATCACATCTATTTACCATTTACTTCTTTATAAAGTCATTCAATCTAATGAATATAGCAAGACTGATCTCCGCAAGCATTTTAATCTCATGATTGACATCTGTTGATTGATCAATATTAATTAGTTTCGTAGTCTGTAGATCTTACAACATGATTGAACGCATGACGTCGAACTATATGTCATTTATAGCATACTGAAATACATGACGAATATACCCCTTACTCTATTGTTGGGCCAGAGGGCCGTCATTAGCTGTCTGTGTGACTATAGGTATATTAAAATTAGTACACCCCAGCGCAAGCATAAATGGGTTTAAAAATGGAGTAAATGGAGTGGGAAGTGCGCTAAACATACCCCGATAGCGAGGGACGCCATTATGCCTGAACGGGACACAGTTACAGTTTTTTTTCGGGTGCTTGTCCGGATACGGATCTACCACCAACCGTTGGGATCCGGTGCGACGGCGACAAACAACAGTTCACTTCTAATGACCACCGAGCGCCGTTCTCCAAATTAATCATTAGGCTTGTCATTAGTTGAATGTGCTTAAACTTTATTGCGTATTTTTTTTGTGTTGTCTTTGTTTTTGTTTACTCTTTCAATTTGTTTTTTTATTCGTGTTTCTGTATGGCATATGCTAAAAGCTCATGAAGTGTTGTTTGCCGGGTGTGGACAATCGACAATCGACTGGCTAAATGATTCTGAAAAACTCGCCCAAGCACACGTGCAATTTGCCAGATAAGTCCAACAACAAAATACCCAAGAGCATATAAATTATCTACAACAAGCACAAAATTGTTAAATACCTTGTGCAAGTTCTTAGCTGTCGCTTGCAAATGCCAGTAATTAAATTTGGATTTCATTATTATAATTATTCAATAGAATGAAGCGAATACGACAATAATACACAAGTGGATTCGAGCCAGCGTCCTCTTTGCTGAGTTATCTACTAAGAAATGAGTCTTAAAATATTAATTACTATTATTCATTAATAATATTTGTATAATGATATAAATATTTCAAGAGTTATTAGACCCTTCAAATAATAGACAGATATATTATTGTGATATCATTATTATTATCAAAACAAATTCTTAATATTATTATAACTGAATAATATGCATTAATACGACATTAAAACTGATTGAGGGACTATTCAAAGCAATAGAAATAGAAAATGAAAGAAATAGGGAAAAATAAGGATTCCATCAGGATTTTGAGTGAGGCGAAGTAGAAAATTCGTGTTTCACACTTTCCATGCAATTCGACATGAAAATTTAATCAAGTTGTTTTCAATTGAGTGCAAAATCACATCAGCAGCATAAAAAGTTGAAAGCCGGAGAGTGGAAAGTGTAAAGTGCCAGGTACAGGGCTCACTCCCAAGCAACGGACAGACAGACAGACAGACTCAATGTGAATTGAGTGGTCAGCCTTGAAGCGGGGGTTGCTTTTGCCCAACCTCCAACCCCCTCCCCAGAAATGTCAACAGCCAGCAGCATTTGGACCCGGGGTCAGAAACACACGTAGCATTACGATTCCGGGTATTTATTGCCAAGCACACAAATTTATAACCAGACTTTGACGAGCTTCGAGCTATCAAAGGCAACAAAAATAACATTTCAATTTTATTGCCTTGCCTCGGTTCAAGTCAAAAAAAAAAAAAAAAACAAAAACAAGAAAACAGCTCATCAAATATTAAAAAACCTGGAAAATTTATGCCGTATTCCATTAGAGTTATGGCGTGAAAATAGCCTCGGAAATTTGTTAAACGAAAATCAATGCCACAATTAAAAAAAAAAAAAAACAAATAATAAGAACATGAGGTATGCATGGAGGAGCGCCAGCTAATCAAACTACATTGCAAGATTGTTGAGGCAAATCTCAAAAGTCTATTTAAGGCGGAAGGCCTGTTCAAATATTTAGGCCAAGCTGGCAAATTGTGCTAGATTTGCCAGTTATAAAAGCGAGACTTTCATTTCATTTGCGCTTAAACTGCTTAGGCCTCCTGCTAATACCCGTAAATGTCTGACATAGGTAGGTTGCAGCTGTGTAAATGTGTGTAACAAACAAAAACCCATTTTCCAAAAATCGATAATTATCGATTTGAAGCCACAGTTTTTCACCTTTTTATAGAGGACTTCACATTCAGCACATTTGTTCTCGTACGGTATAAACAAATGATTAGTTTTTAGAACGCCTCTCTTCACTCTTCTCAAATGTGTGGTTTACAGGGTATCTCCCAGCCGA